TCGTGATAATACAGTATACTGTAATAAAAGCGTTGGCAATTAATCGCAACATGAAAATTTGATACCGGCATATCCCTAGTTGGCACATTTACATCTTTGGTTTTCTTTGGTGTTCTCTCTGTGGTTATGTAATCAGTTTAAATTCTTTTAAAAGCTCTTATTTTGTAATTATTACAGCTGCTTGGTTCAAGGTGTGATCACAGGCTGGTTATGCAAAACTCATGGGTAACTAGTTTCTGTGTCCTCTACAGGTTGATTGTACATTGACATCACTAGTGGGTGTTTCTCCAGTTGCTTGTCATAGAGCGCATATAAACCCTAAAATGTTTTTTTTTTTTTTTTTTTTTTTTTTTTCCTTAAATATGCGTTCCCTTTGGTTGTGCACTTGGAACTTCGTTTGTGCTATTATAGTTTTCTTACTGTTAATGCAGCAATGCAATATGAAATTGGAGTTATTTCACTTCAAGAGAAGAAAAACAGAAGTTTTAATGACATTTGAACTAATGGGATGAGTCCCTGAACAAAGAGGGGGGTCAATTTCAAAAGTTACAGTAAGTCTGTTGTGTTGCCACTGGCTGCTTTAAGCACTACAGTGCATCACATCCTCATGGACATGGAGTTTTGCCAGTTCTCGCTGTGAGATGTATTACCCCACTTTTCCACCAAGGCACTTGCAAGTTCTCAAACCCATCTGGGGGGGGACACATGGTTTGCCATTGCAAGAATGATCAGCTGTCCTTGTCTCCCTGTAGGACTGTCTTATAGGCCTCTTACAGTACATTATGGACATTGCAGTTTATTGCTCTGGCCACATAAGCAGTCCTCATGTCTCCTTGCAGCAGGATTATGGCATGTTCAACCAGATGATCAGGGACCCTGGGCATCTATCTTCTGTGAATCTTTTTTTATTTTTTTTGGAGTCCGTAAAAAGGTGCCGTGAGTGTCTCAAACTGTTCCACATGTGTATGTACAATAATTATGTATGGTTAATTGAAAGTACAAAAAAATATTTTTTAAATCATTTTCAATAAAAATCTGAAGCCCAAGTGTGGACAGTGCTTGAGACTCAATGTAGGCTTTATTTGACTGTAATTGGTTTCTCTCCTTGCTCTTCTTCTCCACACATTGCCCTTGGGATGAAGTTTTTGTACTTTTTGTAATGGCCACACAAAACTGTCTAAATTAACTTTTATTCAGAAATCCATTGATTATAGAGGAGGAGTATTCAAGTCATTGTGTTGATGAATTAAAAGTTATACAAAAAAATATAGGTGCTTTGCCACTGCATGGTACGGCTCGGCTCAGTTTGCGTTTCCACTGCAGTTTAGTACCGCTTTAGAGTGGGCTGGATTATAGACATGTCGTTATAGTTGTGCCACCTCTACTGCCGTGACCTCCTGATTAATCATGCGATTAATCGTGATAAAAAAATGTAATCTTTGCCCAGCACTAATAAATATACATATTACAGATTGTGGCAGTTCTAAAGTGATTTTCACTTTAATTTTTTTATATTAAACAAATGAATGACCATAAAAGATATTAATTGCATACATTAAATGCCACAATTTGGCACTACATCGTGAGGTGTGTCATGTATTATGCAGTCGTGCAGGACCCCTCTTCTAGACCCAAACACAATATAAAAACATGATCCCCCCCCCCCTTTTTTTCTCCCAATTTCCTCCCACAGGATTTTAAAAGCATTTAAATTAGCAGCAAATATTTGAATTAGCAGTAAAATGAAAAACATACAGACCATGAATCTTACTGGAGGAAATATATTAAACACAATAAACTCACTGAGCAGGCTACAAAGTGAAATGATGGTAGTTCATCTGTTTTCCACATTCATTAAATAGGAATACAGATTACAAAATTTCATTTCACAACATGTTTATCATTTCATAACATTATTTTATGCTGCTGGCCAGGGCTGTTTCTAGGCATAGGCGAGCTAGGCGGTCGCCTAGGGCGCCACCAACTGAAGGGGCGCCAATGAGCGCACGTACTGGCACTTTTAGCAGGGCTGTGATAAAGAGTGGCACGGTCACCCTGCAATATGACTGCCGCCCCCACTGGATCCCCCAACATTATTGGGCTAGAGTACTGTCAATCTGACGATGCCTGTATGCCACTAGATCAGAGTGCTGTCAATTGCTGCCTGATTGTTGCATGCAAAGTTTGCATCTGGAGCGATCAACAACGCCATTGGCTAGAAACGGCCCTGCTGCTGGCTCTCTCTTCATAGCCTTGAGTTTGAGGTTCCTTGATTCTGGAGGCTGTCTTTGTGTTTCATTGAAATCATTTGAGGTTTCTCCAGCGAGACATGCAAAGATCTAACTGCATTTTTATTTTTTTGTAGTATGTACATAATTAATCTTGAACCACTTAAGTTAAAACTACTGCAAAAGAAGATATCCCTGTACTTAATGTACATTAATTAACATGATTAATAACATAAACTGAAATAGCTTAGTAGCTTTACAAGTTATTCAAAGGGTTTCTACAAACATATGAAAACAGTGAATGTTGAATGTTGTTGTATAAGGCAGTGGTTCCCAACCCAGGTCCTGGAGGCACCCCAACACTGCACATTTTGCATGTCTCCTTTCTCTGATGCACCAATTTCAGGTCTTGGAGTCTCTACTAACGAGATGATGACCTGAATCAGGTGTGTTTGATTAAGGAGACATGCAAAACGTGCAGTGTTGGGGTGCCTCAAGGACCAGAGTTGGGAACCACTGTCTTAGAGTACATGACCAGAGTTCCTAAAATGCCATAACTTCACTATTATGGGACAAAAAGCATCTTTCTCTAATGACCATTTAAAAGTAGCCATATGTTCTGATAAATTTTTTCTTATGATTTTTAGCATGATCAAATTTTCATTATTTGTTGTTTAATATTCAATGTTTGGAGAAGCTCTACACAGTTCTCTCCATAGGAATATTATATTAATTATTCTTTCATAGACATGTCTTATTAAATCTAGTAATATAGGCAATTAAATCAATTAAATCTATATTTTAAATAACGCTAACATCTTTTTTTTTCATTGAATGCATTCATTCTGTAAAACAAGTAAAACAAAGACAAAATCAGTTCAATAAGTCTGAAATAGAAGGTCAGCTTTGCCTGTAATGAGGGCTGTGACACCTGAACCTAATAACTGTATATTACATGTTCCCATGACAACTGATTGTCTGACAATTGGCAGTAGCAGGCACTATAAAAAGTCCAGTTCAACAGCCCTAATATGTGCTGTGGGGGAGACAAATGTGTCTCCTTATTTTGTATTGGTTTTGTTAAGTTGTTTTTTGCTGAACATGGAGGGTACCACTGTGCAACTCTTAAGGTTTAATTTGTTGTTTGTTTGTTTTTTCTTCTATAAAGCAAAGTGTGTTTAACAAGTGTTTTTATTTTGCAGATTTTCTCTAGCACTTTTTGGCTTTTGTGTCTATGGGCATATTGGAAGTGGTAAGTCTTATTCAGTCAAGTTCTATTAGAGATGGGCAGATGAAGCCTTGTGA